AAAGAACAGTTTAGGATGGAAACCCTACAGCACTTTGGAGTGCTGATGTCAACAGATCCCAGAGAGAGAAACAAAGTGATGACAAGGAAAGAAACAATAACTATAGGAGCAATATTTTCAGAAGATGGGAGGAAATAAAATCCAGGGCATAAGTATAGGAATTGGATTTTGCCAGAAATAGAGATCACTTTATCCATTTTAATATAAGAAAAGTAGCAGACAGATATAAACATAGATAGGCTAATGACTTTCATGGAAGAAAGTAAAGGAAATCGCCCTGTGGTGGCTTTCGTTTTCTCAAATAAGAACAAAGTCTAAAAAAATGAGGTAAAGAGATGGAGGAAAAGAGGGTTACACTGGAGATTTAAGGAAAGAAAAGGTCTGAAATCCTGATTTCCAGGAACAGACATACTAGGGAACTGTAGGAATATTGGCAATATTCCTGAAATTGAGGTTATATGCTTACAATGAGACCAGTCAGCAGGGTTGTCTCCATTTTTCTCCACCTATGTTCAACTCTGAGGTACAACAAACAAATTGGCCAAGTTGGGTTTCACAGGTGTCAAACGTTGATAGTTGAGTAAAACAAAAGAATACAGGGACAAGGAAATTAAAGGGTGTTTGCAATGGAGTGACTATAGGTGGATCATGAAATCCAAACTGAGAAAGCAGGGAAGAGGACATGCATGCTTCCCAAAGCATATCTTAATACCCCCAAGTGGTCTGTAAACTCGATGACAAAATCATGAGTTGTATACACTGATTATCTCACCAGAAAGCATCTGCTGACTGATTCCCATATACCAGAACTCCAAAAGACACAAACGTATTAGATTTACAAAACAAAAAATATATATTTTTTTAAACCAGCTTTCTAAAGATCTTGAAAGAAAAACATCTATGGTTAAAATCTAAAGAGCAGGGCAGCCCCAGTGGCACAGCGGTTTAGCATCACCTGCAACCAGGGGCGTGATCCTGGAGACGCAGAATCAAGTCCCACATTGGGCTCCCTACATGGAGCCCACTTTTCCCTCTGCCTGTGTCTGTGCCTCTGTGTGTGGGTGTGTGTGTGCCTCTATGAATGAATGAATGAATGAATGAATGAATAAATAAATAAATAAATAAATAAATAAATAAATAAATAAATAAATATCTTTAAAATCTAAAGAGCAGGTGACTGGGTTCCCATGATATTTCCATATAAACAAAGATAAACTGCTGGACATTAATCAAAGGAAAACCATGACAAAAGAAATTAAATTTAACCATAATTAATCCACATCATAGGAGAAGCCTAATAATTCCTGCAGGGAATCCCATCTCAGAGCAACAACCTGTCCCACAGAATCAAAACTACTACATTTCAGGATAACTAGTCAAGTGAACTGGAACTTGTATATTACTAACTACAGCTTATCACATTAAAAGAACTCTAAATGCTATCTGATCATCTGCTAAAATACTTAGTGTATATAAATTACTGAGGTGTCATTCATTTTCCCTACTTTATTTTTTCTTTCCAAATTTAATTTTTTTTTATTTACTTATGATAGTCACAGAGAGAGAGAGAGAGAGAGAGAGAGAGAGAGAGAGGCAGAGACACAGGCAGAGGGAGAAGCAGGCTCCATTCACCGGGAGCCCGATGTGGGATTCAATCCCGGGTCTCCAGGATCGCGCCCTGGGCCAAAGGCAGGCGCCAAACCGCTGCGTCACCCAGGGATCCCTTTCTTTCCAAATTTAAATAATGCCAGAAAAATCCAAGAAAAGACAAAACACACTTTAAGTAGGTTAGATGAATATAAAAATTATCAATATCATTTATACCTAAAGATTTCCAACTATTCTTTACCAATGGCCAAATAAATGGTTTAGTCAAGTCAGTTCAGTGAAATAAAGAAAAACTGGGTCCAGGAAGCATGTTAGGGAAGAAAAAAAGATAAAAGAAGGCCTGGTTCCCAGGCTGTGTTCCTAGTCAAGGCACCAAACAGAACAAATCATTAGCAAAGAATTAAAATAGCTATATTATCTGTAACATGAGAATACTAGAAACTACTAAAGTTTTCTTTCAGCTCCAAAAATTCTAATCCTAACCTAGAGCTTTGGACTTCTTTCAAAGGCCATTTCTAAAGGGGGTGCTAAAAGATGTAATCTTTCAATTCATAAGACTATTACATAGTTTCTTTCTTTGGATCACAATTAATAGAAAAGCCTAGGGGGGAAAAAAGATGAATATTTTTAAGTCAGAAAAAAAATAGGCCAACTAAGCTAATTACTGGTGACCCTCTCTGTCACATGCAATTTTGTTTCACATTCACTCTTCTCACACCTTTCTCCTTTGTTTCCTCTTCCTCTGAACCTCAGACCTACATCTCCCTGGAGGACTCTGAGGTTACTGAAGCCAAACACAACTTATATTGGAAAACAGGAGCTAACAGTTTGCCAATTTAGGTCAGAGGTTCTTTCTTACTTTTACATCCCCATCACCAAATTTAGTGTCTAGTACATGGCAGCCACCTAATTTTATTCCTCTATATGACTTATTAGACCAGTGGTTCTCACCAGTGGTTACTTTTTAGAAATGTGAAATTTCAGGTCCCATCCAGACGTACTGAATCACAAACCCTGCGAGAGGGACCCAGCACTGTTTTAAAGCCCTCCAATTAAGATTCTAATACACACTCAAGTTTGAGAACCACTGTATAAAACATGCCAGAAGGGACGCCTGGGTGGCTCAGCAGTTGAGTGTCTGCCTTCAGCTCAAGGTGTGATCCCAGAGTCCCGGGATTGAGTCCCACATCGGGTTCTTTGTGTGGCGCTCTTTCTGCTTCTCCCTCTGCCTGCGTCTCTCTGCCTCTCTCTCTCTCTCTCTCTCTGTGTGTGTGTGTGTGTGTGTGTGTGTGTCATGAATAAATAAAATCTTTAAAACAAAACAACAACATGCCAGGAAATCACCTCATTACTGCCAGTGGTAAACAAAAAAAGTGCTTATTTATCTCAGCTGCCACCACTTACAAATGCTGGGGCCCTCATGATACTGTCACCCACTTAATCTCCGTCTCCAGCCTGCACACAAGATGAACTTTAAAGCCATGTAAGTGAGTTTAATTTATGGTGCTTGGATTTAACAGTTCTGTGACGTCATAGCTAAAAAAACTCTTGGAGCCTCCGTTCCCTCATCTGTAAAGTAGGTCCTTATCTGTAAAGTAGGTACAATTATCACATATTCCCATGAGTGAGAGATTGCTTATTGAAAGGTGGCACACAAACCTTTAATCAATTTAAGATCTTTTCCCTTTCTTCCCTACTACCTGTACCAAGTCCCTGCTACTTGATACAGGCAATGTTCCTCAAGAACAGCACGCTGGCACTCCTCTGAGAACTGCCTTCTATACAGAAAAACTAAGGAAGTTTTTTCTTATGGAAAATACTAAAGGAAGGAAATGAAGTACTAAGAATCCCACAGAACAGCAATTGCAAAAAAGGTAGTCCAAAAGCTAGCAGGACATGCAGATCCTATAATAATGTGCACATTACTTTAAAAAAAAAAAAGCATTGAAGAGAACACAGGCAACTTTTTCTTGAGTGCTCAAAATAAATTACTAGTAGTAACTGGACAAAATGGGACACGGGGCGGGGAGTGTCAGGATTAGAAAATGCAAGAGAACTGGAATACTCAACCCATATTAAAGTGGTCTGGGCATCCAAATTTCAATTCCCTAGACTGGGGCCATCTAGGCAAATTCTTTGTCAAATACTTTGTCCCAATGTTGTCATGATATCTGCTCTGATTTGGGGGTTCAAAAAATATGGGGTCACCAGGAGAACAACACCAACAACAATGCCTTGAATGAGCCCTAAAAAGTGGAGTGTATTATAAATGTTTTTTTTAGGTTGAGAATTCTGGGGGGGGGGGGGGCCATAAAAAAAAATTCCCAACTGTGGCTCCTTACTCCCTCCAGATCTAACATTAAGACTCATACTGAAGTGTGTGACACCCCCCGCCCCGCCCTTCCCATAGGCCTGAAAGCAGATCAGAGCCCGAGATCTGTCACTATACTGGGGTCCATTTCTCGCCGTCATCAGGCTGGCAGCACGACTTCCACTGGCACTTTGAGCTTCAATTCCTACTACCGGCCCCCGTGACATCTCAAGATGGGGCAGCCCTCTAACTTTTGCTATTCTGTTAGGAGCAGCCAACCATCCAATCTGCAGGACTCCTGCGAAATCGAAGCGTTCCGTACCTTTTAATAAGGGGACCTTTTTTTTTTTTTCCAGAGAACTCGCAAAAAAGCAAAGCCAGCCCTAAGCTGAAGGGGAGAGCGCGCAGGGAGGAAGCAGTAAAAGAGCACAAACTCCGTGCCTCGCCCTCCGGGAGCTGGAACTCCGGCACCGGCTCGTTCACGCCCCGACCCAGCAACTTCGGCCCGCAGAACCGAGCAAGGCGACGGTCGCTCACCTTGGCGGCAGTCAGGCCCGGCCCCGCCGCCGCACGCAGCCGGACACGCTCCCCTCCCCCGCCCCGGAACTCCAAAGCGAAAGCAGCCGCCCCTTTGGCCGCCTTCGCCGCCTCCTCCCAGCCACCGCGACCGAGTGCCCCGGCGCCAAGGCGCAGTCCCAGCGGGGCCGGGACCCGACGGCGGCTCGGGGCTCCGCGTCCCCCGACGCGCCAGGAGTCGCCGCGCCGCAGCCCCGCCCCCCGCTTCCCCCCGGCCCCGCTCCTCGCTCCGAAGCCGCCGGGCCCAGCGCCTCGCCCCCCCACAAACCCGGAACCCGGCGCCGGCCCCCGCCCAGGGGCGGGCTCAGGCCCAGCCGGGCCGCGCGGACTCCCCGGCTCCCGCCCAGCCGCCCGGGCCGCCCCGGGACTCGCGCCGGGGGTGGCGGTGGCGGTGGGGGTGGGGGTGGGGGTGGGGGCTGTCCCCGGGCGCCCGCCCCCGCCCCCCGCCCCCCGCCCCCCGCCCGGGCAGGACAGGACAGGGCAGGGCAGGGCAGCCTGGACTCACCTTCGTACTGCAGGTCCACCAGGACCAGCAGGAAGGGGAACACCGAGCCCAGCCGGCTGGTCACAGAGCCGGGGGCCACCATGTCCGAGGGCGCCCGCGGCGAGGAGGAGACAGGGTGCGGGGCCCAGCAGCCCCGCCGGCGCTCACGGTGCAGCCGCGCCCGCCCGCCCGCCCGCTCGGCCGCCCGCTCGCCCGCCGTCGGCTCTCGCTCAGGCCTAAGCGGCAGCTGGCGCGCGCGGAGGAAGGCGGCGGGGGGCGGGGCCCGGGCGACGCTACGCCCCGAGCGCCGCCGCCGTCCAATCGCCTTCCTCCTGGCCGCTCGCCTACTGGGCTCGCCGGGGTCGTGGTCGGCGCTGATAGGCTGCGGCGGCCGCCGCCCCGCCCCATCTCTGATAGGGCAACGTGGAGGCACGGGACGAGGCTGCGTCCGCGGGTCGTGGAGCTGTCAGGGAGCTCCAAACGGCCGCGGCCGGCGGGAGGGAGGCGGCCGCCCAGTCCGCATGCGCAGGCCGCGGGGGCCGCCTCGGGCCGCTCCCGGAGCCGTAGGTGAGCGAGGCGGCGGTTCTGCAGGGGGCCGGGCACGGAGGCAGGTGGAGCCGCCCGGGCCGGCGGGAAGGCGGCCACGCCTGGCCCCGGGAAGCCCGAGCGCCCGGAGTGGAGGTCTCGGAACGGACCGCTCGGCGGCGCGCGGGGCAGAGCGTCTCGCAGCGAGTCCGGCCTCCACGGACGCAGCTGCGCGAGACCCCGCCGGACGCCGGAGCTCGCCGAGGAGACAGACGCACCTTAGTGACCCGAGGCCGAGGACGATGGCTCGGAAGCCTGGGAACGCCGGCCCCGGCCCCGGCCCCGGCCCCGGCCCCGCCCCGGCAAGGGAGCCAGGCTGGACGATTCTGAGATTCGGAAACCGGGAGCCACAGCAGCCGAGGGAGCGCGGCGCTCTGCGGAGCGTGGCCCACGGCGGCTACACGCGGGGAACCTGTTGGAATGATGGATCTTGCACGTTGTGCTCATCACAGGGAAGGCAACAAGACTGATTAGGAACTTGAACGGGTTACGGTTTAGGTCACTCACGCACTTTGGCGTTAGGTTTGTTCCGGGCCGGTTCCTCTGGCGTGCCCGGCGCCACCCGGAGTGCGCGGCATCCACCCGTGAGGTTGGAGGCGGAGTAAGGCAGTAGAGCTGTATGTAACGCGTTCATTGTCAAGTGCGAACTTACTAGTTTACTAAGAAGTAGAAAGAGGAGTATGGGGGCAGCCCGGGTGGCCCACCGGTGCAGCGCCGCCTTCAGCCCAGGGCGTGATCCTGGAGACCCGGGATCGAGTCCCACGTCGGGCTCCCTGCATGGAGCCTGCTTCTCCCTCTGCCTGTGTCTCTGCCTCTCTCTCTCTCTCTCTCTCTGTGTGTGTCTCTCATGAATAAATAAATAAAATCTTTTTTAAAAATGAGTATGAAGGGAAACATTTGTGTTATATTTATGATAAGCAGAGGAATCTTCGGGCGGTTGGAATAAATTGATACTATTGATGTTTTTAAATTGTTCTACGTCCACCCCCATGTTGATTGCACCGTACTTATAATAGGCAAGACGTGGAAACAATCGAAATGAGTCCATTAACAGATAATTAGATTTAAAAATGTGGAGCGAGCTCTCACAGACACACCTAGGGCAATTATTTAGCCATAAAAAAGCCATTGCAACAACGTGGATGGACCTTGCAAGCGTTATGCTCCGTGAAATAAGTCAGAGAAAGATAAATACTAAATGACTGCACTTATAGGTGGAATCTAAAAAAAACTCGTGGATACGAAGAACAAATTGGTGGTTGCCAAAGTGGAGAGTGGGTGAAGGTGGTCAAAAGGTTCAAACAATCATTCAGTTATAGGTCCTGTGGATATAATGTACAACATGGAGAGTATAGTTAACAATACTGTATTGTGGGCAGACCCAGTGGCTTAGCAGTTTAGCATCGCCTTCAGCCCAGGGCGTGATCCTGGAGACCCAGAATCAAGTCCCACATCAGGCACCCTGCATGGAGCCTGCTTCTCCCTCTGCCTGTGTCTCTGCCTCTCTCTCTCTCTCTCTCTCTCTCTCTCTCTCTCTGTGTGTGTGTGTGTGTGTGTGTGTCTCATGAATAAATAAAGTCTTAAAAAAAAACCCAATACTGTATTGTACATTTGAAAGTTGCTAGGATAGCAAATCTCAAAAGTTCTCAAGAAAATTGTAGCTGTCTGGTGATGGATATTAACTGAACTTAGAATCATTTTGCAATATGTACATAACTCATTGTACACCTACAACTAATCCAAAGTTATATGTCAATTATATCTCATTTTAAAATTTTAAAGAGACAAGCCTATGTCTTCTGATTTTAATATATATTAATGATAATACAATATTATGTTTTATATGCAATGGGTAAACTCTTCAGAACAAACTTCCTAAATTAAGTGAAATTCTAATAGTCAATGTCTTTAAAAAGGTTTCTTGTGGAATTCTTACAGTAACACAGATCGTAAGGGCTTTATTATTATTTTCCAGATCTTATATCTAAAGTATAGATTTATATATCTAAACATCTAGATATCCAGATCTCATATCTAAGTTATATCATTACTTCTAAATCTGAGCATAGAAACAATTGCATTATGGGGCGCCTGGGTGGCTCAGTAGTTGACTGCCTTCTGCTCAGGGCCTCAGGGCGTCATCCTGGAGTTCAAGTTGAGTCCTACATTGGGCTCCCTGTAGGGAGCCTGCTTCTCCTTCTGCCTATGTCTCTGCCTCTCTCTGTGTGTCTCATGACTAAGTAAATAAAATCTTAAAAAAAAAAAAAGAAAAACAATTGCATTAAATGTAAATGTTATAAACACAACAATTAAAGGACAGATAGGGATCCCTGGGTGGCTCAGCGATTTAGCGCCTGCCTTTGGCCCAGGGCAGGATCTTGGAGTCTCGGGATCGAGTCCCGCGTCAGGCTCCCCACATGGAGCCTGCTTCTCCCTCTGCCTGTGTCTCTGCTTCTCTCTCTCTCTCTATGTCTATCATGAATAAATAAATAAAATTTAAAAAAGGACAGATAATGTCAAATGGATAATAAAAGAAATAACATTTCTACATGATATGATGAACCTCATATCACAGTCAATTGATTTCAACAAGGATGACAAGACAATTCAATAGGGGCAAAAGGTAGTCACTTCAACAAATGAAGCTGAGAGAACTAGATAGTCATGTGTAAAAGAATGAAGTTGTACCCTTTCCTTAGACCACACACATCATAGACCAAATTGTAAAATCCAAAACTATAAAATTCATAGAAGAAAAGAGTAGTAAATCTTCATATTCTTGGGTTATATAAAACCTTCTTAGATACAACACCAAAAGCATAAGCACAGAGGAAAAATTAAAGTGGATTTTACAAAAATTTTGAATTTGTGTTCCAAGGGACACCATCAAGAAAATGAAAAGACAAACCACAGAATGGGAGAAAAAAATGCAAATCATATATTTGCTAAAGGACCTATATCCAGAAAAAATATATATGTATATATACATATATACACATACATACATACCTTTTACAACCCAAGAGTAAAAAGACAATACAATTTAAAAATGAGCAAAGAATCTAAATAGGCATTTTTTTATGAAGAATATATATAAATTACCAATAAGTACATGGAAAGATACTCCACATCATTAGCCATTACAGAACACAATTCAAAACCACACTGAGATGCCGCTTCGTACCCACTTGGATGGCTATAACTGAGATGAACAACAGCGAGAGTTGAAGATATGGAGAAATGGGAACTCACATGATTGCTCACACGTTGCTATTGGGAATCTAAAATGGCAGTTACTTTGAAAATAAACATCAAAATGTTAATAGAGTTACCATATGACCCAGCAATTCCTCTCCAGTTAAGAGACTTGTAAATACATTCACACGAAATCTTGCTACACAGATATTCCAAGCTATTATGTGTTCATAACAGTCAAAATTAGAAACAGTTCAGGTGTCTATCAAGAATGGGTAAACTGGGGATCCCTGGGTGGCGCAGCGGTTTGGCGCCTGCCTCTGGCCCAGGGCGCGATCCTGGAGACCCGGGATCGAATCCCACGTCGGGCTCCCGGTGCGTGGAGCCTGCTTCTCCCTCTGCCTATGTCTCTGCCTCTCTCTCTCTCTCTCTGTGTGACTATCATAAATAAATAAAAAAAAAAAATTTAAAAAAAAAAAAAAAAAAAGAATGGGTAAACTGGGCTCTGCTGCCGCCGCCGCCGCCGCCACTGCTGCCGCCGCCGCCACCACCACCGCCACCCGCGCTGCAACCATGCCACCCTACACCATCATCTACTTCCCTGTTCGAGGGCGCTGTGAGGCCATGCGCATGCTGCTGGCTGACCAGGGCCAGAGCTGGAAGGAGGAGGTGGTGACCATGGAGACCTGGATGAAGGGCTCACTCAAGGCCTCCTGTCTGTACGGGCAGCTCCCCAAGTTCCAGGACGGAGACCTCACCCTGTACCAGTCCAATGCCATCCTGTGACACCTGGGCCGCTCCCTTGGGCTCTATGGGAAGGACCAGCAGGAGGTGGCCTTGCTGGATGTAGTGAACGATGGTGTGGAGGATCTCCGCTGCAAATACGCCCTCCTCATCTACACTAACTATGAGGCAGGAAAGAAGGAATATGTGAAGGCATTACCAGGTTACCTGAAGCCTTTTGAAACGCTGTTGTCCCAGAATGAGGGGGGCCAGGCCTTCATCGTGGGCAACCAGATCTCCTTCGCGGACTACAACCTTCTGGACTTGCTGCTGATTCACCAGGTCCTGGCCCCCAGCTGCCTGGACTCCTTCCCCCTGCTATCGGCCTATGTGGCGCGCCTCAGCGCCAGACCCAAGCTCAAGGCATTCCTGTCGTCCCCCGAGCACGTGAACCGCCCCATCAATGGCAACGGGAAGCAGTGAGAGCTTGTGGAACCCTGGGCGGGAAGCTGGGGGGCTGCCTGACTTCTTTTCTCCCTGACCAATAAAATTTTCAAGTGAGAAAAAAAAAAAAAAAGAATGGGTAAACTGTGTTAGATCCATACAATAAAATATTATTTGACTATAAAAAGGGAATAAAGTGCTAATCCATGCTACAACATGAGTGAACTTTGAAGATTATTCTAAATGAAAGAAACT